CGGTCCATCTCCTTCACCTTTCTTCTTTTGTTCTTCGATTTGCTCAGGAGACACTCGTTGCCCTCTATAAGGACTGTGAAGCGCTCCCCTTCAAATAGAGAAACATTCTCCCAGGGAATAAGGTTTGGGGAGAGTCTCTGCCCTGATTCCAAGCAGACATACCGTAAGAGTGAAATCAAGAAGAATCTTAGGGATCTCCCCCTCGAAAATCTTGTGTCTTCCTTGGTTTCTCTTCAAAGAACTCCCACAACCTAGGCCTCACTCACTCTCTCTCTCTGCCTTATGCTGTTGGGCTTTCCGACGGCTTCTTGGTCTGGAATTGAATTCCCCTTCTTAAACATGACGTTCTCGCCGTTTACCTGTTGCACTGAAGAAGACAAAGGCTAGAGAGCAAAACTACTGTTCCCTCAAGAGCGCCCCTCTAACCACCCCCACTCGCCCCATCCTCTCTTATTCTCCCGTCTCTTCAAGCACCGGAAACGGAGCCGGACGTGTCCTATTCATACGTCCCGTTGTGCCGATGCGATTCTCTCCCCGTTCATTTGCCCTAATCAACAGACATCGGTTGGTCAGCAATTTTCATGAAGATCTACTGCTGGAAACCCAAGAAACCCATTGATTCTTCTCTAGCTGCAGCTCCTGGAAGAAGCTCTCCGCTTGATATCCGCCTTCCCGCGCCACGTAGGGAAACAGTATCAGTCGACGTCATTAAAAACTTGCTTCCTTAGAGTTGCTCGAACGAGGAAGCAGGAGAGAGAGAGAGAGAGAGAGAGAGAGAGAGAGAAAGAGAGGGAGAGAGCACGTGCGGAACTTGTCGGATAGCTGCATGAACTTACGTGCAGACAACGTAGGTTAACCAAAATCAGCTGAGGTTTATGGGCTACTCAGGTGGTGCAGATGCCGCAGCTAAACCGAGCGTGACGGCTCACTGAAAGAGTGGGGGGGTGGGTGGGGCTCCTTGGACTTTTGCTGCCGTTAGTTCCTATGCAGGGTAATCCGCGAAGGTCAGGCATTTCCATCTCCTCAAGCGAGTCCTCCTCTTGGAAACCTTCCAATAGAGGAAGGTTTAGGTCTGCCCAGGACTCCGATGGCTACGTAGTTGATATGGGAATTCTGTGCCTTTTAGGAACACGAAGGATTAGGCTTTGCATCCAGGGTCGACGACAAGTTGGAAGGTCATGAAGAAAGGGCTCGCTTGATCCCGAGCTGGCTCAGTCGGGTTCAGGATCTACCCCTCCAAGGACGACATGCGTGGGGCCGCCAGTTCTAGCCTGATTTATTATAACGTCCCAAATTCACCTCTGTAATGTATGAAATCTGATGATCAAGGCCTGAGGATCCCATCGTATTTTTGCCAACTTTATCTCTACTATGTCTTGAAATCACTTGATGCATCAGAGGTGATCCTCCAGAATCAGATGGAAGGGTTTGAGGTAGCCCGGGTTGGCTGATGTGGGTCCACGCTTGGGTCAACTCCCCAACCGAGGATATGAGTGAAGCTGCTGATTCTAGTTGTTTTGTTTTTCATTGACTGAATTCAGCTCGATTGTATCAAAATCAGCCAATAAAGCCCAAAAATATTGAATAATATATTTGCCGATTTGGGCTAAAAGTTTCTTGATCTATCAATCAAAGTGCTGGAGAGTTGGCAACATGAGTGACCCACTAGAATTTGATCAACTGCTTGTTATCCCAGTCTTAACTCTGTAATGTATGTCAACATGAAGATTAAGTGACTTTTAAGAAGGGGATGTGGATTATAATCTAAGTCATCAATCCTTATTGAAATTGGGAATTAGGCCCATTGAGTAAGTTGTTGGATTCTATATGACAGCACATCACCATGAGGTGAGGGGGTGTTAATTGGTTATTGGGTTATTATCCAAGTAATTTTGGGGATGACAAGGAGGTTTTGAGGTATCTTGAAAGATCAATGATGACCTATGTTTTAAGACATTGATTGAAACTGTAATGAGATGAATAATTTAGGTGGAATTTTCAAATGGGCAAAATTGTCCAACAAATTAAGTGCTGATGATAAAATGAATTTTAGAGACAAATCCTGTAGAAAAGTTTATTCGATATCCAATGCCACAAATAACAGATCAAAATTGTAAGTATTCTAACTATTATGGATTTAATATATTTTCTTGGATATTTTAATGTAAGAAAATAAGAAGGTGAAGGTGTTGAAATAACCACAAGTCAGCCCAATAATGTGCATAAAAGATTCTCTTTCACCAAGATTAGGGTTGGACAAGATTTTGAGGCTTCCTCTCCACCAAATCATCTTCAAGCCTCCCTAGAGTAAGATCATCAATCTCCAACATTACCTCCACCTATAACATCAAGATCATCAATCTTTGATGTCGCTGACACCTATAATACCATCTTAAAGCTTTCCAACCTCCTCTTCATTGATTTCAATGAAAAAAAAAAAGTGAACTTCCAATGTATGGCTTTTAAGGTTATCCTTGTTCCAAATTAGTTGAATAACTTAAAACTCACCAAAGGGAAACTATTAAATTAATTCAAGTTAAAAAATACTTAAAGTAAGAGATTTACCAATAACTCCATGATTCTCAGCCAATTGAGTAACTGACACCATAAGCTCAACATTGCTTACCAAAATTCATGATATTTTGTGCTTTAACTATAACTATGTCTTAAAAGGTGAGTGAAAGGATCACATAAACCTTTAATTTCATGTAATCTGACTTAGTTCATAATTAATAGGGTTCACTAAGTGTTTAAGTTGTAAATCTTGAATTTGTACTTGTATTTGAATGATATATCATAGTGATACTTAAAGCTGAATTTGTAGAGAGTGGATGTAGGTTTGAGAATTGACTATTGAAAACTTTATCATGCTAATTGTGTAGAGTTTGATGATAAATTAATTAAGCTTTATAAGTTTGAATTAAATCAAGTGATTGAAATGTTTAAAATCAAACAATATTGGATGATTTTGAGATAAATGATTTAACCTTTACAAACTTTGTTGTTAATTCATCACCCTCTTTGTGAGAAGTGTAACCATGCTGATGTCAACAAGTGGTATCAAAGGCAACCTTAGTGCACAAAAATCAATGTTTCTTCTAACGAGCATTTCAAAAATTCATCATATTGAAAATTATTTAGCACATAGGCCATCTATATCACTCTTACTAGAAAATAAGAATGAATTTTTTTCTTACAACATCAAGGATTTAGGCAATAAAGAAATTGAAAATGGACCTTATGATCTCAAAAAGCATCCAAGATTTTTCTAAGAGTAGTTATGTAAAATGGAATCTATAAATACTAAGATAGTAAATCTTTGTTTTGTGTATGATGTGAGAGAATCCAAAATATGGTGAAAATTTTTTAACTCATGCACATAATAGGAGGCTAATGAAGGGCATACTAATTGGGTCTGAAAATATTACTATGAATAATTGTACCTTAATTATGAATTTTACATTCGCTAAAAGACTTACACATAACCTTATTAATATTACTCAATTGAGTGAAATAGGATGAACATTGAATTCAAATCTTGTTGTAGTGTCATCTTAAATCAACTATTAAAGTGATGAGTCTTTGCTGCCCTTAAAAAATGAAATGTGTACATTGTGGAACTCTTGGAATTATTGAGTGAAATCAATGTTTGGCTACTAATAACTCAATAAATGATATCAACTTGTTGCATAACGTAGAATGAGAAACTTATATTATGAAAAACATGTAAAGAAAACTTTAAAATCAAAAAAGATCTATCCAATGTTAGCCATCTAGGAATGATTTACTTGACCTATTTGACCCATCCAAAGTTGCAAGTCTTGGAGGAAAAACATACAGTCAGATATAAGTTGATAGCCTCAAAGTGGAGATATTCTATGGCTGCTTGTGATAGGTTGTCGGGATGAAAATAGCCCTATTGAGATGTGATAATCCATAAGCTAAACATCATTTAAGTACTAATAATGATTTATAGAACGTTGAAATAATCCCTTTTAAAAAATTATCTAGTTATAAGAAAGTTTATATGCTATCATAATATGGGAAATCTATAAATGATGATGAATAAAATCATATAATCAGTAAATATGTATCTTTTTTATTAATTATTTATGTAATATATTCATGCCTTTCAAAAAATATATATTCCGTCACGAGAAAAAGATAATCAATATCTTCATTTAAAACGTCTTTAGAGGGTTGCTGATGCTCTATAAAATTCAAATTTCTTTTTTAAAAGATTTTTTTTTTGAAAAAAGGATAATAATAATAATAATAATTTTCTTATAGTTTTCCAAGGATTTTCGCACCAAGATGAAAGGAGACACAGAATCGCGAAATTTGAGAGGAGTACCTGAAAAAAATTCGGGATGACATTTTTCTTGACCAGCGCCTGCGATGGCGCTGCGTTACTGCCTGAGCCGGTTGTGCTAAGCTGGCTCCCTTACGATAAAGCCTGGCCGACCAATCAAACGGCAGGCCCGGCGCCCCGTCTGCCTCCTGCATCCTCCGCGCCCTCCCGGATTCCGCCGGCGCCGGCAGAATTGGCATCCTCCTTGCGGTCGTACTCTCTCCCACGCACCCACCCCAGCACTCTCTCCTGCCGTTTGGAAACTCTCTGGGTTATCTGCTGGATTGCCGATAGGGCAGGAGCAGGAGTAGGAGACAAAGAGGCGTCATCTGTAATCAGAACGGCGGGCAGTTTTTTCTCTCTTTCCGAAAGTTTTCACCCTCTTCGTTACCCCTCACATGCCTGCCAACCCTTGGAATCGGAATGTCCTGGGCCGACTCGACTTCTAGAACTGAGTGAGACTTCTGGACTGTTTTCTCGTTCCTTTTTTGCTACCCTTTTCACATCGTGGGTCTTCGGTAGCGTGCCTTATGTTGTAGTTTTCTCTTCTGTGGCGTTCATTTGAATGTTCTTGAGATGTCCTCTTGCTGTTTCATAGATCGCTATTTCGAGACAAATTAAGTTTACCGAAATATCCGAGCAACAAAGAATGACAAGTAATACCCAGGACGCCGATTGAGCTATAGACGATTCCATCCCTTCCATATCTGGGATTCATTTATATTTCCGTTCACTTAGGGACCTGCGGCAGCCTGGTTTAAGAAGTTTGACGATTTCTGTTCATGTAATTTCCTGAGGCCGAGCCAATTTCGAATTTCAGTCTGAAAACTACTGAGCGTACGATTCTACTGAAACTAATTTCCTAAACTGGCCCTTTCTTTCTTCCTGAAGATGATTAAATTTTTTGTGACTGCTCAGGAAAGTGTTGATAACTGATTGAGTCAAGTGGTGGAAAAAACTTTAGCATCTGATGTCTCTATAAACATCAAAACAGAAAAAGGAAAGAACATGGTAAAGATGTATTGGGTACTTATACTTTACCTCGACAGGGTGTGGAATGTAGTTATCTTCTGAACTCTGTGATTCAGCTTGCCATTCCTCGCTCTGTTCTTCCCCGGTTTGTCCATGAATGTATTTTCTTATGGACATATGTGCGTTGCCCGCTAAATTACTTGCATAAATTAAATCATCAGATGCATTTAAATGAGTACTTCCAAGGATATAAGACAAGTGTCATGGCTCAAAGATTATTATAATCTGTGTTATTGTTCTTGATACTTTGCAGGCCGTTTCTGGCAGTTCCTTTCACTTAGCCAGGAAAAAGTCTAGAGTGACCATCCCGGACAGTCAATGTACGGGTTTAAGCTGGAAATAAAGCGGCACATGCGTAATAAACCTAATGGATTTCTTGAAAAGTACCCAAACGTGTCACGTTTGGGTACTTTTATCCTTAGGAAATTGCTAACCATCTTGTAACCCATCTTCTTCGGGCATTCTCTGCACAGAGCTAACCATCTTATAACCCGTCCTAGAACCACATGCCTTGCCAATCATCACAGTAGACTACGCAGTCTGGTCGCCTTTCATTTGAATCATTTATCGAACTCATTAATGGTCGCCGAAAGCCCATGGAAGCTGTGCCCCATTCACAGAAATCAAAGTCATTCTATTATAAGCCTTCTCAAGAACGATGTTCTTGTTGACTTAGCCTGACATACCCCCTTGGGAAGAGAATGGTATCACTTTCAGTAGTTGATGCAACTCAAATAGTTCCTGCAACTTGATCTTCTTCCAAACTTACAGCAAGATCATAGGTGAGCAATGGAGGTATTTACAACAAGCTACCGTCTTTAATTGTGAAGACAGTTTTAAAAGGCAGGTGTGGATTCAGATTCATGGGTAAGCAAGCAATGGAGGTCGTCAATCATGATAAAAAAAATAGATGGAAAAAAAGACCGCTTCTTGTGGATTCATTGACATCTGATGTTTGGGATAGTAAAATAGTGGTGGTGGGACATAGAAATACATTTGGGCGTATTTATTGAGCGGCAATTCGCATGTGCTACTTAAGGCCAGAGTCTGGGTCTTAGGTCTTCAAGCATAGGATGAGGCCTAATATCAGAAGAGGTAGGTTACTGCTACAGCTGAAGATGAAACAAATATCTCGAGATGTTAGACAATCTTATGACTAATCACCACCTCGTTATTATTTTTATGACGCGATAGTTCCCGGATATGGTTATCCATGACCAAGTTTGGGCTTATCTATAGCTATAGTCCTAGACTCCTCTGTACACAGTGCAGGCCAAGTTTATATGCAGCCATCTCCTCAGTCAACGTAACGATGTAATTAACCACTGGATGTTCATCTGATCCTAGACCATCTCCTTGATCACCTGATGGTCGCTCTTCCTTTAGAGATGATCTGCAATACACTCTCCACAACTTCCTTTTTCTTTTCTTTTTCTTTCCTGGGTCTATAAGGCACTGTCGGGCACTATCAAAGACGTGTGTGGCTGCTAGTTCTATGGGAGCTATCCCTTGGATCTCGCTCCCACTTTTGACCATAGTTCAAGTGGATTAATTACATCTGCTTTCACTGTTGACCTTTGACTCTTGACCCTCACGTTTCAGTCTTTCTTTTTTCTTTTTTTTTTCTAAATCAACTGATTTCCGCTTTGAATAATCTTTGCTGTTATCATAAATACGGTGTTTATCAATCACAGAATGCTAACTCTCCCCCCCCCTCCCTAATTCCCAGGTTATAATTCTTCTTGGCTGTTTGTCTCATTAGAAATATGGGAATCATGATGGCTCAGGCGGCCAGAATGATACTGGATAATGATTTCCTGGAAAGGCCCAGCACAGTTCACAAAGCCTGTGGCTCTCCACAGAGCTGGGAGATGAAGACAAGCATTGGGTTGCAGTTTGCTGGATTCCCTTTTCGGCGTGGGTCTGTTCATGGGTTGAGGTTCGTTTCTTCAGTTCTTCAGACATGAAAGGCTCTCCAATAAATCCAGTTTTATCTCTCTGTGGTCTTCCCATATTTCCTTACCTCCGCTCGTTCAAAACCATGCAATTTTTACAGTAAACGTAACAAATTAGCTTTTTTTTAAAGCGTGGAGGGATCTTGAATATAAAGATCAAATGGATAGAAAATTGCATTGGGAGGTTTTTCTTTTCCATTTTTCTATGAGTGGATGTTTCTGACAATTTCAATCCTTGAAGCTGGATTCTTAGAGAGAGAGAGAGAGAGAGGGAGAGAGAGAGTTGAAGCTGGACTTTAAATGATGGCCTAATTTTAGCAGGTTTGTGGATGATCCCTTGGCCTTTTTTGGTTTTGATCGAATGCCCCTCCCAGTACAGAGCCATTCAGATTCTCAGTAGTTGATGGTCCCATTCAAGCTCTACCCAAACCGCTAGGCTTCTAAGAACTCATCGAAGATAAAATCAATGGATTCAATTTCGTCAAGCGCTTCATCAATGGATTCGATTTCTCTCCCACCCGGACCTTCCCCGCAACCTTCTCACCGTTGCTCTCCCCCAGGGTTTAGGTTCTCCGTTTCAGATGCTTCTTCTTCTTCGTCGTCATCTTCTTCTTCATCCGTCTGCAACCGTTCTCTGCTTCAGCCGGCGACGAGGACGGGACCAGTGGAGCGTCGCCTTCGCCCTGGACACCGGCGGCGCGACTGACGGCGGCGGCGGTGGCGGGCAGGAGGGCCTCGGCGGAGAGAGCTCGGGGCTCGGCAGGACGAGACTGGGCACCATCGTCCGCGCAGCGGCAAACCAGCTCCTGGAGAAGCTCAACAGCACCCGCAAGAATTTCCCCACGAAGATCTTCCTCCTGCTGCTCGGCTTCTACACGGCCAACGCCCTGGCCACCATCCTGGGCCAGACCGGCGACTGGGACGTGCTGGTCGCCGGAATCGCGGTGGCCGCCGTTGAAGGGATCGGCGTGCTCGTGTACAGACGGTCGCCATCCGTGATGAGGTCTGGGAGATTGCAGACCCTCATCGAGATGGTGAACTATTGGAAGGCCGGGGTCTGTTTGGGCCTCTTCGTGGATGCTTTCAAACTGGGCAGCTGAGTTCAGCCTCAAAGGAACTAAAAAGTAACGCAAAAAATCCTCATTTTCCATGGCTCCCTCCTGCCATCAGTGATCAAGGCTTCATTCATCTTCTGTGCCCTGAAGAAACGAGTGGCTCCATAGCGTGTAGCTTCAGGAATCAGTCCATTTTCTACGATCTGTGCTTGCCAGACCAAGCCCACTCTCTCTCTCTCTCTCTCTCCCCAAGCATCAGACTCGGAGCGTTGACTTCTTACAGTACGTCGAAGTCAATGGGACGGCCCTTGAGAAGGCTTCGGCGAGCTTTGATGGATTCCATTAAAATGTCGTTTTCTACGTGGGAAATCTAATTAGACGACACGGATTAGTTGACTCGATCAGATTTGACCTCAATTTTAATATTAACTGCAGATATAAAATATTACTTTTATAGTAATTTAAAGCCCCCAGAAATTCATCCCCCTAATGATGGAAAATATCTCATTTTTTTCTCTTTCTTGAACTTATTTTAGTGTTCTTAATATTCTGAGTATTAAAGATATTTCTGCGTTTTCTTTCCCCTGGGCCAGCAAAATCTAAGTGTGTTTATTACCTAATTAGCTTTTAGCCATGGCCAGATATGGTAAATATTTATATCCCGCGGTGTGAAGTAGACTACAAATGATGGTGATTGACTTTAGATGAGAAAAATTGATAAATAATAAAATAATTTATCATTAATTATGCATCACACTCACACCCCCTGCTCTTTTGTTGTCATCAACAAGTAGACAGCGAGAGAGAGAGAGAGAGAGAGAGAGAGAGAAAGAGGTTGTCGTAGTCTGAAGACGCGCTTGGGAGTCTCTCTACCCGCATCTGTCGGGGCGACAGGGGAGAGCGTCGCCGCCGCCACTGGCCTTGTCCTACTCCTAGAGACGGAGACGAGCGGACGGCGGCCATTTCTCAGCGGCTTCGTTTCCTCTCGGCGGGTTGTTCAGTCGGGAGGGGAGATGGAGAGGCTTCTGGTTCGTTGACCGGACATCAGATCACATAGACCGCGAGCATTGAGAAGAGGAAGCGGGAGAGGGTTGAGAAGGGGGAGATGGGGCTGCTGTCGCAGCGGGTGGAGAAGACGGAGATCAAGGCCGGCCACCACATCTACACCTGGCGGGCCATCTACACCTACTCCCACCACGGTAAGAAGAGCTATGGAGGGCCGCCCTTGCCGGCTCCCTCCCTCTACCTGCTCTTCCTCTTCGTCAGCGTCGCAGAATGCGCGCCGATTCTCCGCAACTCGCCTTCGTTCCTCGCGTTCTTGAATGCTCGCCCGTGGATCTGATCGACATCAAATCTCTCACCTCCCCGTCTTCGCCGGATTCCTCGGCGGTCGATGACGCTTCGGCGTGGGTTTGAGTCCTTGGGCCGTCAACCGGCGCTGTGGAGGAGAGGACTAGAGCTGCCCTGTCTTCCCCAGCGGGACATTGATTCTTCGTGGCCATCAATCTCACCTGGCATGTCTTCTTCATTCATGATTTTCTTCTCCGACCCACAGGCATCGTCAGTTGGGAATGAGAATCAATTGGCCACCGGAGGATGAGGAGCTGCTGCCAATCCTGCCAGGATCGGCATCGATTTTTATCTCCCACTTCTTCTGACCGAACTCTGTTCTTTGTTGGGTTCTCATGAATGAGCTTGCCGATGTTGAAAGACTGGAAAACTGACCAGAATTCTCGAGATCTTTCTTCTTCGGGGATGGTCTTGAGCAGTCGGTGATCTCCATCCTAGTGTGAATTCCCTTCTTCATACGGTAATCACATGAGGATTCCTCCGAGAACCGCACACCAGAGGATCTCGCTTTGTAGGGTCCGTGGTAGAAGTGAACTCCCTCCCTGTTTCTGTACGCAGATATCAGAGGAAATCTCTGGAGGAATATCCTTGCCAAAGGACCCAGACCCACCATAATCTTTTCTTCATTTTTCTTGCTAATTAGAGTTTGTTGCTCCAAGCATGTTTCTGAGAAAAATCATTTATTTTTTACACCTCAGTCTGGTTAATAAATAACAACATTACCTGCATAGTGGAGTCTCACATAATAAATTAAAACATCCCACCATAGAGTACTTTTAGCCCAGTTTTTTTTTAACCTCTTCCCTTTTTTTTCTTCTTTTACTGATCTTGATGCTGTTCTTGAGCATGAATTTTTATTTTGACTTTTGTTTTTTTTTTGTTTCTGAGATTTCATCATGACATGACCCCGTATGAAGTGGCATATTCTCATAATACCCATATGGAAAATGATAAAATTAAGCAACGAACATAGATAGTTCCATGAACAAAAATCTGTCCACCATTCAATGCTTCTAGTAGAGGGAAAAAAAAGGGAAAGAAAAACCTGGCCTTTGATTTGCAATTTGCAATAGCATTTTCTGAATGAAGAAAGAAAGAATTATGAAACCCTGCAGGAATCTACGTGGGAGGGAACAAAGTGGTGCACTTCACCTCCAACAGGCCCGTGTCGAGCTCCGCCACCTGCCCGACGTTCCCTGACTGCGGCTTCAAGCAGCCAGGCAGCAGCGTGGTGCTCACATGCCTGGACTGCTTCCTCGGCAACGGCCTCCTGCACTGCTTCGAATATGGTGTCGCCCCCTCAGCCTTCTTCACCAAGCTCAGGGGCGGGACCTGCACAACGGCTGCCGCCGACCCACCTGAAGCGGCCATCCACCGGGCCATGTACCTTCTCCGGATCGGCTTCGGCAGCTATGATATCTTCAAGAACAACTGCGAGGATTTTGCAATCTACTGCAAGACAGGTCTCCTCACACTTGACAAGGCTGGCCCGGGGAAGAGTGGGCAGGCCTCGGCCTTACTCAATTTCCCACTGGCGGCTGCTCTTTCCTCCCCTCTCCAGCTGGTCATGGCGAGCCCCGCTGGTGTGGCCGTGGCCGCTGCCGGTGTGTACTGCGCCGGCCGGTACATGACCGACGTGGGGGTCAGGAGGGACGTCATCAAGATCTCTGTGGAGGAGCTGGGTGCCAACCTTGGCCCGCCTGTGGAACATGGGGTGAATCAGGAGGAGTCTCAGTGAAGCAGGGGAACCCATAGGTTGTTCTTGACGCTTGTTCAGTCTTTGTCCTGGACTTCGGTTATTATGTTCACATGTAATAAAGTTCTGATGTTGGCTCTGCCTGGGCCCGAACTCGTACCCCAGCCGGATCTGGAGGAGCAACTCTCCCCGGATCGCTAGAAATGGATTGAAAAGGGATGGAGATAGTCCTACGAAGGTCGATTGATCCATCAGAAGAAGATTGCACAAGAATGCCTTTATCTACCAGTTTAAGTTTAGAGTTTACCTGTGTGACATCGGGCCCTTTTGAAGGTTCAATGCCGAGTGACATGGCCTTCTCTTTCAGACTTCTAGCCAGAGAAGCATCCTTCTCGGCTACCTCACAGGCAGCTCTTTCCTTTGCCTCCTCATCCTTGAGTTTCCTCTCAGCTTCTGCAGCTTCCCTCTCTGACCTTACACCTGGCTGTGTAAGGTCCTGATATTATTCGTCCTCCTCTGGTATTCCCTGAAAGAACAAAGTGAGATTGTGCAATTTTCAGTTGATTCTAGTTTTCGTTCTTTTTTCTTTTCAAGCTCATGAAGAACGGATTCACCCTCCCACCGGTGAAATCAGATCATGCGTGGCCTATTCCAATCTAATATCATGCTCCTCACGGTGTACTAACTTCCTGAGTATGCCATTGTAAGGAATACTGGTGCACCATAACAAAATTTTTAAAGAGCTTCCGTTTCTTGTCAGATTTGAGATCCCATAAACTTCTCAGGATGGGAATCAACCCAGGGGGAATCGGAGAGGACGCACCACCGTCTGGTCTGCTCGGAGGCGCCAGCCTGAGAAGCACAATAGTGCTGGAGGTGACGCCGCCGGCGACCCTGGCGCCAAGTCCCAGTGCGCCGGTGATGAGGCCTGTACCACCATAGACAACATGCGCTTCGACAAGATCCTGCTTCGGATTGAGACCACGGAAGCTGCGGAGCAGTTTTCAGCCGCAGAAATCAATCTAGCGGCGATCTTGGCAGGGGACGAGAGCGGAGGGGAAGCGGAGGAGGAGATTGCCACCTCGAGGTCCCAATTACCGATGGATAATTCGGGGTCGTCGAGGCCGGTGATCGCCTTGAAGTTCGCCAAATTCTCCTCGAATTTTGCAACGCCACTCCTGGAATCCACCACCGGACCCCTTCCTGATCCTCCGCTCCAACTCCCAGGGTTCGCCATGGGGGAGGTAGGAAACGCGGGAAGCTGGAGAAGGCGAGAAGAATAAGATCAGAACAACGGTGAGCTCAGACGTACTTCAGCGGGTAATCGGTGGTGGAGTCTAAAAGTTGGACCAACATGAAACGGGCTTTTTAAGGCCCGGCCTGAAGACCGTTTTTTGTACGGCACCGACCGTCGTAGCCTAACCCGTCAGTTTTTTAGTAAGAATAAAACAAAGGAACAAATAATAATAATTTCAATATTTGTGCCCAAATATTATTTAATAATTATATATTACCCAAACGGATTGAGGGGCACAGGTGGGACCCACCGTTCATCCTCGTCTTCCTCACTTTGCGTCGGAGCAGCACCAGGCAACTCCACACCCCTCGCCCTCGCAGTATTTCTCGGGCGACCCACCGTCCATGGAACGACTGTTCGACTCTCTCTCTCTCTCTCTCTCTCTCTCTCTCTCTCTCGCTGTGTCATTATAACCCGCCTGGGTGGGGGGTGAGTCGATCGCCAGCAACACGAACGGCCGTTCCTTGATGCTCTCTGCTCCGTTCGTTCTCCTTCTAACATTAGCGGGGCTTGTTCTTCTGCGCGGCCTCCCTGCTTTGAGCCGGCATACAGATCATGGCTTCTGCCTTGCCTGCTATCATCCAAGGCTTTTGGTTAAGTTCTACCGATTGAGAGCGGTAGGCGCCGGTGGTTTCGATGTTGTAGGGGGCCTCCGGGTCCTGTTCCCACTCTTCTTCCTTCCCTCTCGCTGATGAGGGCCGTTCTCATGGTGGTAAGCTGCCACATGCCGTGGTCTGTGGAATGGGAGCGATGAATCTGACCTCGATGCTGGAGACCGTCGGCCTCGGATGCTGGCTCCGGAGGCGAGCGGGATTCGGTAAGATTTCCTCCGTATTCGAGCATTTTGCTGAAGGATCTTCAGGAATCCCGACTGCGAGAGGGAGGGACATGGCGACCTCGAAGCAGCTTTGAAGAGGAAGGGGGTCCCGTTTCCGGCTCTCGGGGGATCCCCTGCGGATCTAGATTACTTCTCTGGAGATGGAGCCGACCGGAAGAGGCGTCTCCAGAAACGTCGACAACGACGGGGAGGTCCTCGAGGCTGATCCGACGGGCAGATACGTTCGGGTACGCCCACGTTTCTACCTGAAAGTGATGCAGATCCTGGATATCTTCTCTTCTTCCAACAATGAAACGGACTTGAATGAGAATTTCTTTGATGCTCAACGCTGATCTCCTCTTCCCTTCTCCATTTTAGTTGTGAATATCTACATTTTCTCAGTCTGTTCACCATGAATCCTTTCTCTCCCTTTCTTCTTGGTGCAGTACAAGGAAATTCTGGGCAAAGGATCCTTCAAGACAGTGTATGCTTTCAAACTCGAGTAATGTATATATATCTTACATGCAGATTCGTTTTCCATGAATGTATTTCATGGGAATGTTTAGATTCCAGGCCTCTCATGGACAGGTACAGGGCATTTGATGAGGTTGAAGGAAGGGAGGTCGCCTGGAACCAGGTGAAGATAGATGATGCTCTTCGCTCGCCCGAGGATCTTGAGAGACTGTACTCCGAGGTCCACCTCCTCAAATCACTGCAGCATGAGAACATCATCCAGTACTTGAACTCTTGGGTGGATGATCAGAAGAAAACCATCAACATCATCACCGAGCTCTTCACATCAGGAAGCCTCAGACAGTAAGTTTCCGAATTAATAACTATTCCTTCATATTGTTGATTCCCTGCTCTTAAGAGAGAGAGAGAGAGAGAGAGAGAGAGAGAGAGGGGAGGGGTTGCACTGTTTTTATGATGGTTGTGCCCATTCAGGTACCGCAAGAAGTACACAAATGTGGACATGAAGGCAGTGAAGAGCTGGGCGAGGCAAATCCTCCGTGGATTGCAGTACCTGCACACTCACAACCCACCGATCTTGCACAGAGATTTAAAATGCGACAATATCCTCGTTAATGGCAACAAGGGGGAAGTCAAGATCGGCGATCTTGGGTTGGCAATCATCATGCAGCGTCCCAATGCTCGGAGTATCATTGGTAGATCACGATTTATCGTAAGATAATCAATTCATGATATCAAGGATGAAATCGAATACTTGAAGGAATTATATTCGTGGGTGTTGCAGGAACTCCAGAATTCATGGCCCCTGAGCTTTATGAAGAGGAGTACAATCAGCTAGTTGATGTGTATTCTTTTGGAATGTGCTTGCTGGAGATGGTCACTCTCGAATACCCATATAGTGAATGTAAGAATGCAGCTCAAATATACAAGAAGGTCACCTCAGTAAGTTATCCATCTTAAACGCTAATAATCTGGGCATGGTGGAGGAATTTATTTTTTTTCTCACTAAAGTTATCCCATTTACAGGGGATCAAGCCATTGGCACTTGGGAAAGTGGCAGACCCTCAAGTGAAGCAGCTCATTGAAAAATGCCTGCTCCCTGCCTCCGAGAGATCCTCTGTGAAAGAACTTCTCCAAGATCCTCTCTTCCGATCTGATATCTCTCGGTCTGTTCAAGATCCCATTCGTTCATCAGAGAAGATAGAGTACGAACCCATGGATGAAGTGAGCTATGTACAGCCTTCGAACAACAGGAACACAGAGACTAATTTTGAAGACCCATGGGTGCTGAGCATGGAGTTTCAGAAGACTAAGGACCAAAATGAGTTCACTCTGAGAGGAGAGAAGATCGACAACAACACGATCTCTTTTATTCTGAGAATCCTGAACCGAGAAGGTAAGACAAAACGGATTTTTGGCACATAATTCTCAATTTACTCGGCCACTAATGATCATTCTCTTTGACAAATTTTTCCTTGCAAATTTGCAGGGGAAGCAAAGAACATCCATTTCACATTCTATCTTGATTCCGATACTGCCATCTCAGTAACAAGAGAAATGGTAGAACACCTTAGTTTATCTAACTGCGATGATACATTTATAGCTAACTTCATAGACTTCTCGGTCACGAAGCTCATTCTTGGTTGGTCACCATCAGCATGTGAGAAGGCTAGGGTCAATGAGGTCAGACAAGTCTACACTGTGAATCAGTGGAGTGGGCCTCGGTCAAGTGATAATACTGACATAGACGCTGATGATCTGATCTTCTCCCATTTGACGCTGGGCAACTCTGGCGAAAATTCCTTTCAAGGAGCCATGGGATATGTCAGAAGAAATCCGGGTGGATACCTGGCGCTTGAAAGGATTGGTGGCCATGATGGAAACCCTATTGCGATTAATCACTCTACTGACAGTTTAGACACATTTATGTCCGAGATCCAGGACCCAGCTAATGTTTCAAGCATACCCACCGATTCTTCTCTCGCATCATCCGTGGATAGCAGCCATGATGTTGATCTAAAGATGGAGCTGGAGACACTAGAAGTGCAATACCAGCAGAAGCTTCAGGAGTTGTCCAGGATGCAGGCGAGAGCACTGGATGATGCGAGGAGGAGGTACTTCCTGAAGAAGAAAATCTAGGAACCTTCTAACTGTTTCTATATCTCTATCCATTTACTTATTCCATTTGATTTCTTAGCATCCAGAAACAGCTTTTTGTAGAAGATGGTGGTCTCGATTTCAGTCATTCTTGAGAGATTCCTCCTCAAGAAGTGTTGTTCTAGTGGATCCCTGTTTTATACTGGAGTCTAGAGCTTGACCTCATGAATGCACACCATCATCTGAACATTCCATTTCTTACGTTGGTTTTAAGCTTGCATGCCAATGAAAATAATTCATAAACTCATGCGGTCATATGGGTAGCCATGCAATCAATCGATCCTGAGCTTAGATGCCCAATAATTCTGACAGCATAATAAATAAAGAAATATTATATCGTCTTTTTCTACACTGAATCGTGAAATGATCCACAAGTTTTATATAGTTTTAGGGTTTCATAAACCTAGACTTTCGACTGTGGTGTAAATATTATAAGAGCTATGAACTACATGGCTCCCTCCCCATAGTCTGCGCAATGAGATGATCCTCCCCATAGCAGCATGCTTTTCTTCATACATAGTTTAAAAGAAAAACGGAATTGACTGCTTATATAGCAAAAAAATAAGAAATTTAAATAGTATTCATCAAATTATAGCAGGGCACATGAACAAGAGGGTAACTACCCCACGGCTGACATAGAATGCAAGAGCTGCGATTTTCAATCGACTGCTATGTACAAAAGATGAGAATTTCAACACAGATGCACATGTAAGGAATCACAGACAGAACCCATTTAGCAATCAAATGCATAGAACCTTTGTTCATCCAAAGGTGCCGACCCCTAAACCTCTGCTATCTTAGACTCCTCTGGTCTCCCTGTGATGAATGCATGGATCTGGGGTTTTTTGAATCGAGTGGTACGTGCAGCATGAACATGAAATCAGGAGGGCGGCATATTCACATGTGGAGAGGCCATTTGCCTTTTTAACTCCATGGCACGACTGTGTTCATCCGCTGTGCCTACCAATCCTCCTTCACAATCTTTGATTTCTCGAGGATGAACTTCCCTTCCTTGTACTTCTGCGTCTCCTCGTAGGCTCTCTCGTACTTCCAACCAAGCACCTCCTGACATTCCTTACAGTATACGTCGGCGACGGTGTGGAGGCCGGTCATGAGATGCCTGTCCTCTTTCGGCCCCAAATCTATGTTCATGGCATGGGAAAATAGGAATCCCCGGCCGTGCCTCCCCTGGAAGAAATTAGAACTAGTTGGAACCCTAAAATTGTCGCCGGAAATCGACTTAGAGAAACGAGATTCACTCGTGTCTGGATCTCTAATTGATGGAGATAGCTGACGAGACGCGGATCGCGTGGACTTGAGGGCAAGCAGTTTATGTACGACCTCCGTTCCTTGATCCTAGAAAAAAAAGAAGCGAGAGAGAGAGAGAGAGAGAGAGAGGGAGAGAGAGAAGCAAACAAGGATCGAGCATAGGCTGAGGAGAAGGAAACTAATAGTTGATTGGCAAACTGCGCTGGCTTGGTGGATCAATCAACAACGGAGATCGCGTGAGAGGGGAGACTCACCTGAAAAGCTTTGGATACGATATCCTCGTGGACGGAGACGCGGTTCTGGCATTTGCAGCAGCAGTAGATACGAGGCCCCGCCTGCTGCGCCATCGGCACCGCCGGAGCTATGCCTGCTACTCAAAGACGAGAAATGGGAGCGGTATCAGAGACGTCGACTTCGGCTTCCACCGAGTCTCTTCATTGACCGGTTCAGACGGGAAACTGATCCTCCCGTCGTCTCCTTCGCCGAAGTCTCGGGGGGATAACGGAGACTCCGCGACCAGCGAAAATCTCCGATCTCCTTCGCCGAAGTCTCGGGGGAATTACGGAGACTCCGAGACCGGATTCCGAGCCAGTCGGCGATAGAGAGGAAGATCAAATTGAAAAAGAAAAAGAAAACTGTGAATGTTTTGCCGAATCAGACAGAAGAAATTGATCGAACAATCTCTCGATATGCCCCAGGGGAGGAGATCAGAACCCTCACGAAAGAGGTTGCGTGAGCCAGAGCACAAAATGGCCCCGGCGAGGGGAAGAACAAGGACAATATATTTGTGATCATACGCCTAATAGGGGGTTAACTACATATTTATTCATCTGTTAGGAGAAAGAGCCAATACTAGAGGGAAATTAAAGCTTAAAAACTCATCCGTTGACTATTTAAATCCCTGAGGAGTCATATAAATCTGTAGATTTCTTGATAAATTACATTAAAATATTCGGAAAGGAAACTTAGAGACCCAATTCATGCCTTCCTATATTTTTCTCGTTATAGTAATCCTTTATTCTTGGTAGCTATGAGCCCAGCGGCAATTCTGATGCAGTGGCCTTTAAAATCTGACCAGCTCTGCAAGAACTGGATATTTCAGAAAATATTTTTTCTACTACGGGTAGTAATTACATGCCTTTTGTATAGTTTTTTTTCAATTTACATCATAGATGATTTAAAAATGGGCAGATCTATTTCTTTTGAGGTCCTAAGCATCTCCCCATTTTTTCGCATTATTTTGATTTCTTAGTAATTAATTTATCCTCACAATTAATTCTGAAATACTATCTATTTAAACTACTTTGTGAAGACCCAATATTTGCATTTGCATTTGCATTCTCATCCGCTGTGATTATTAAATATTTTGATACATTTTTTTTTTGGGGGGGGGGGGAGGACCGAATTCATGAATTAATGTTCTTCTTTCACATGATCTTTCTTTTTCTCATTGTGAGTATATAAAAAGCATGATTGATTTTATTATTGTTTATGTATTTGAACTACTGCATAAAAAATGATGAGCTCTCGCCTAATAATTGACTATCTATAGTGCTTTACTTTCCATTGGCTATTGATGCATAATTCTCCGTATTCATTTTTAATTCTAATAATTGGACATGGTTTTTTAAAATAACAAGATAATTCTTTTTAGAGGCCACATTTTGGGTCTTTACAAGATAATTCTAACATTATTTTTTATTTTCTTATAGATAAATATCTCATGAGTGATTTTGAAATATATATGATCATTATCTAATCTACTTCCCAAACTATATGACTACTACCTAAAAAATAATTAAGTTAAAAATATTAAATCAACTATAAATTATCTTTCTTTCATACTGACTCAAAAAATTATTCAATTTAGCTACAAAACTATATGACGAATATTGGCCTTAATTCATTGTTTTCAAATTATTTTCTCTTCCTTAGTTGAGAGTATAAACCTCATTATTTTTTTAAATGACATTTTTTTAGTTAGACTCGTATGTCAAAACCTTTGATTATTTTTTCCAACAACTGAAACATTTTATGTTTCATATATATATGTCTAATTTGTGAAATAATTACCTATCACTTTTCATATATTATTTCATATATATATATATTGGGTTTAAACTGAAGGTATGGGCTGTTCCTTTAATAATTTATGAATAAATTAATATATTTTTTTACTCATATGTGAACTGCGAACTGGTTTAGCATTCGTGATCTGGGAAGGTCAATGGTTAAAGACCCATTTAACCTTCTACTGGGCCTACAGTATTTGGGAAGCTCAATGGTCGTCGATCTGGGAAGTCCCGATTGAAGCGGAGGCGGCTCGTCTCCAGTAGCGGTGGTCTCTCTCTCTCTCTCTCTCTATTTCTCTCTCTCGCTCGCTCGCCCGCTCCCTCGCTTCTTGTCGGCTTCGTTTGCTTTGTATCGGGAAGATGGGGGACGCATACTGGATGTACAGTGACGGGCGCCCGCAGGCGGGGGCGATGCAATCCTCTCAGGGGCCTGTCAAGCGTGCCCGCTCCGAGTACGCTGGTGAGTCCATCTCTGTGCTCCTCTCGACCTCTTTTCCGCCCTCTTGGAAGATTTCATTTGTAACGCACTCTCTCGTAGGGTTTTGTGCGGCATTTTTGAGGCGGGTAGAGTCAAAAGTTGATTAAACTCTTCGTAGTTTTCTAACGGCATTTCAGCGAGCTTGAATATTACGCATAGATAATGTGACCACGCAGAATTGGATAAAAAAAGAAGAGGGCAATCCCTTTAAATAATGACATGAACACAACACTTATAACCAGTCGACTCTCTCTTTTTCTAAATAGGGCAATGACTTTCAGTCATGAGATATACAAACCAGTCGTAACTACCTAAATTGAAACAAAAAGGATTATTCTTTTTGGCTTATGAATAAATAAAAATTAAATGAATAAGGGAATAATTTTCTGTGATAATTAGATGCACAAATCCAGACTTGAAAAATAGAATAGAAGTGCAGTCTTTCGGATCGCCCATACTGTTTTATAATCACTAGATCGAAAACCTAAAAAATGGTTTTCGAAGGATACATTTATGAAGATGGCATACGTTTTAAACAATGTTTGTTTCAAATATTTGTTTAAGCGCACTGGTTGTGACAAAGACTAAATATCAAAGGTAGTTATTTATCCATATGATTAGTACCTTATAATGTGCAGGAGACAGAGAAGAACGCATGCCTTAAATGTTAAGGTTTCGGTTGATTTTATTGATGATGTGCTGTTAAAAAAAAAGAAATAATGGGCTGATGCTGTGTACTAAATTCATCAAATTTTAATTCGGGAGAGCGTTCACTTATACGCATTTATTTACACCAAAGGAGTGGCTGGCTTTGTTTCACTTCTTATTGTGAAGCTTCTGGGTAGAAATCTCATTCGGGTCAAATGATGATTTTTTTTCCTGCATTCACTGGTGATGTTGGCATCTCTGTAACACTTTATATTGCCGTTATTGTGATGTTTACCCCCCTTTTGTGTAGAATTATTTTAATGTCATGGCGTGCAACACTTTAGGTGAATAGAAAATTTAAGCTAATTTTCAATGTATTTTTCTAGCGACCTTTGAATATTGCTTCTTGGGACATTCTTTACCATAAATTCACAAGGTTCTTCTTGGTTGTTGTTGAGTTAGTGCTCTCCCTGTTGTGGATAAATGTTGAGAAATAAGTTATGTGTACCGCCTTCAAATTGTGTTACTTCGTCATGTAATATGACACGGGATACGAGCTTTATGAACGAGTATATCAACACTCTTTACTCTTTGTGTTATGCTTATTTTTTTTGCCTTTGGGCAACATCGGTGCTTCCTTTGAAGTGCCCTGATACAAAGCAACATCCTCTTTACTACATAAAAAGGCCTTTGATATTTGTTTCTGTAAAAAGAGGTCGGTGTCGTTCTTAAATTGTAGGTGGGGAGGTTTAAGGAAGTATAAAGTATAGTATAGATAGGAAGAGACATGTTACTATGGGAAGAGGGAAAGACTACAAAATGGACAACACATTATAATTTTTTATAGAGTGAAGCAAATATCAGAGAAAATCTTGTAGCAGGTAAGCCTTAGGTGACTCAAGCCCTTCTTTCCGGCTTCATAAGAGTTTACTTAAAGCGACTAGAATCTTCTGTGTGTGGCATTGAAAATGCTGAACAAACAATGCTCATGAAACGATGCTTAAGATAATATTTGAAAGGCAAGTTAGGATTTTGACTGAAAATAAGGATTTCATTTTCAGTCAAATATGCATTTTCTTCAGTAATGTCTATGGTGCATTACTTGCATGATTTAGCTGGATCCGTCTAGCGAGCTACAGTCTTGTTCTCCTGAAATGCTCGAAGCAGTTGTCTTCTTTTGATTTGGGAAAAGCTATATCCTATTTTTCTTTGGGTTCATTTGTTTTGCCAATATTTTGGGATATTCCCTGCTTGAAAGGTCTCCTCCATGAAATGTAGTTTCATGGACTATGAGCTTTCTATCTTTGTGTGATTTTAAATGTTGGTATTCATAATCGTATGTGCATTATTTGAGGCTGATGATTCGTGATATACGATAGCTTGATTTTCATTTCTTAGATCATGAGAAAAAATAATTTCATGGCTGGACTTGTTACTGTTAACAGTATCCATTTAGACCGCCCAATCAAAATGGTAAAAAGGTAGGATTCCTTCTTTGGTCTTCACCTAAATAAGATATGTTGTAAGTAGATTCATGACAGTAAGATAAGTAGATATTTGATCATTGAAAAAAGATTTTTTTTGGGTGGTGATTAAATGTTGCGAATTTATATTGTGTCTTCTACGTGGAAACATTTGATCCATTTTTATCATTTGTTTTCCCTTTTAAGGCTTCCCATCACCTGTCAAGAAATGAAGCCATTGTGATGAATTTTTTTCTATTGAGTCTTACATTCGGTGTTGTATAAATGATCCTTTTTTTTTTTATAGCATTAGGGCACTATGCCTTTGCGATCAGATCTGACTTCTTGAAAAATTCATTCTCTGCCTCATTTTGTGATTGTTGGTCCAGATGCTCTCTGCAATCTACTTCAGAATGCGTACCATCTATTGCAAGATATATTTCTTCTGTTTAAAATATATGAATTCTGCATCCTCAAGAGCTGAGAACTTTTCTAAAAATTCTTGTATCTGTATGCCACATTGTTCTCCATGGTATTTACGACATGTACCCTCTTATGATTTTCGAGAATACGTTAATAGTTATACAATCCTGCAAAAATATCGATCAATGCTCCCCCTACGCAGATGCTAAAAAATATTATTATTATACGCTGTGCACTTCACACAATCTCTGCCACCATCATCTCTGTATATTATAAGAGGAGCTTACACTGAGCCTCTCTTTTGAATCACATTTCCACCTTGTATCATGTTCCAGCCTATTACTGTATTTTTATATTAACTATTGAAGTTGCACATGTTTAATCATTTCTGAATTGTAGGATCTCCATTTTTCTTGAACTCCCAATTCAATTGGTGCCTTCTCTCATATAAACCCAAATCAAGGTTGGATTTGTCACTGCAAGCCTGATCAGTTGCCTGTGTGATATTCTTTCCAATGTAGACATTTATATGGTGCATCATTGTTTTATTCTACATAATAACTTTTTATTCATTAGAAAATTTATCGGCTCAGTCCTTATGCAGGCCGGACAGCTTGGTTAATCTTGTCTGACATGACCCGGTCCAAGAATTTATGATAGACAAAGACTGAGTAAAAAAAAAAGATTAGTGTTATTCACTTTGGTCATCACAATCCACTGTGCTGTCCATCGATTTAAGGATTTATTTCTTTGGCAGGTTTGAGAGGCATCATTGCAGCTTTATGCAGCAAGTAGCTTGGCAGTGTCAGTGAAATCTTAGTAGCTATTTATATAAATGTGTTGTGATCTATTTGGAAATCTTCAAGGGATGGTTTGAAGTCATGGAAAAAGGTCGTCAGAACATTTGCATGAAGGAAATTCATTTTTTGATACTGGGATGTTTTCCTGTTGACTCCTATCTCTTTCTGAATATATACAACGTACTAATGGAAAAAATGGTTGTGTATGGTAGCCGTGTTAATTACATTTTTTGGGAAGTTCTGTTGGTCTTCATCTTGGCTGTGGGAGCAAAGTTCTCTGCTTGTTCATGGTCATGCTGGGGTTTCGTTCTAAAATCCCAAAGTCGCTTGCTTCTTTCTTATCAGTATGGATGCATGCCAATCAGGGAATTGATAGAATTGGTTGGATGATTTTATAGTGTGTAAAGAGTGGAGAGATGGTTGTGAGAGCTGGAGATGGACGGCCTTATGCTGTTCAGTTATTCTGAATACTAAGTTTTATAAATAGATACAGATTATAGATTCTTACTTGGCTTATTCCATTTTTCATCGGATTGAAGACTCGTGTGCTTTAAAAAGTACCATCATCCAAATGTGCCATTGGGATAAGGATCGACCATCCTTTGGTATCCTAATTCATCCTTGAACCTGACAACAAAATGGAAAAAACTCGGATCAGTCTGGAATCAATTATCTTTGAAGAGAAATTAGCTCATTCCATGGATTCTTCCTCTTCAGCTATTCAGGCCTGGACATTTAGGAGTTCCCTTTGCCTTTCCTATCGTGAGAGGGGAGATGAGGCTACTGTAGGTGGTATAAGAAAAATAATGAGTGATAGAATAAAATCACTATTGCCTCTTTTATTTTGCATTCCATAAATGTTGCAGTGATCCTTAAGGTTCTCAAGTGACAGGACAAGTTGATAGTTCACCACAGTATTACCTTGCAAATAAAGGACATGCTTCGTTAATGGCCATTAAAAACATAAGAATGCAAAAACGAACACAGAGCGCCTCCACACTTACTGTTGCCTAGACAGCCTTTTCCCCTCCTCGGTTTTCGTTTTTTTCTATTTTTCCCTTTCTGTGGAGTGACGTTGCTGGCTTACCTCTGTGGGCAAATCAATCATGAGTGAAAGGAATGGGATGCCATATCATGGTCCGAGAATATAGTCTAAGGGCTCTGGATCTTATCACTGCTGTGTTTTCCGCAAATCTTGCTGACTGAAGCTGCTTTATTTTTTAAGAGATTCCTGGTGGAACCGAGTATGGTGCTTATATTCCTCGTGAGGAAGAGAGGGTCGGACAACGAGTAATCAGGGACACAGAATCAATTGAAGCATCTTATGATCAGTATCTACGCAGTGGGGTATGCTCTAAATCTGTTGTAGTACTTGTTATTTTCTTATTTCGTCTGTTGTTGTGTGAAATTCTGATAGATGATATCACCAGCAAATATCTTCTTATGGTGCTGGAGACTCTGGTGGCCCTTCGAGTGGAGGAGTCTCCACTCATCATGTTGCAGATCCCCGATTGATGAACGTGGGTCTTGTGGAGAACCGGAGTGTGGGATATAGCGGTGGAAGACAGGAAATGTCTCTTCCCCCAGATGCTTCGAATACACTATTCGTGGAAGGTCTCCCTGCGGATTGCAGTCGCAGGGAAGTTTCTCGTATCCTTTGCACATCAGCCCTTCAACCTGTAACTATGAATTCCAATGGGAAACTATGACTTCCTATGTGTTACCATCTGCGCCATTTTCTTAGCTTGAGGCTTGCAGATATTTTTCGTCCTTTTGTAGGATTTCAAGAGGTGAGGATTGTCAACAAGGAGTCCAAGCATGTAAGATGGTCTTGCATTCCGAGTGTATTTTAAATGGTCTAAGCTGTTTGGGCTGGCAAGTGATTCTTCAACGTATATCCTCACTGCAGCCTGGAGGTGAACCGCATGTCCTTTGCTTTGCTGACTTCCTGACTCCCAGCCAAGCAGCAATTGCACTTGGAGCCTTACAAGGTGAGTGAAGAAATCGCGTGTAATAATTTGTTATTACTATTTATTTCAATAATATTCCCCCCAATATGTTTCTTTCTCCTTGATCTGTCTGTCTGCTTCAGTTCTGGGTTTTTTAGAGGATTTTCTCGACTCTTTGACCTCGCTTAAGTCTGGGTCTCACAGCTGCAATTCCCTTTCTGTTCTTCCCAAGGGAAGTATTTGGGGAAATTATTGGTTGGAGCCAAAGCCCTGATGTTCACAGCCTCTGTCTGAGGATTTATATTCTGCTAGATCTAGACAGGCACGACTGGTTTATTAGATCTCAAGAGATGAACTGTAGTCTCTACATCAAATAATTCCACGCCGCCATTCTGAGCTGTTTATGGATCATGAAGCGGCCATGGTTTAACTTTTCAGGCTACAAGTTTGATGAACACGACCGAGACTCAGCTACCTTAAGACTACAGTTTGCACGCTATGCTGGCCCGAGATCTGCATGGCCCCGTGGGAGGCATTGACTGGCAGCTGTCTATCTTCCCTTTACGAGGTGATGAACATGTTCCAAGCTCTGAGCTCCAAAAAAAATTTATTACTTCAATCTTCGTACCTAACAAACAGGGCTGGGATTCGTCTTCCAGATGCGTGCTGTCAGTCTGTTCATGGTCCGGAGCTGCATCTGCGTGAAGGGCCTGCTAGGAATTCTTGGAATGTCAACGTCAGAGAGCCTGGCTTCCTGCCATTTTCTTTCCTTTCCACCCACCTGCTTCTCGTTGCCTGCACCGTGCACATCTAGCGGCGCACTTTTGAAACATAGAATAATTTTTGCTGTCAATCCATGGAATGGGTATCTTGGAGGCTCGGGTTACCTTGTCTAGATTCATACTAGCTTTTTGCAAACTTGCTTCTTGTTCGACTCCCATGCCATCGCCGTGGGTTGATGGTGTCTGATGGAAGCTTCAGGTCGTTTGGAGATGGAGGAGACATCCTATTTCCCCCCTTTAATCGCCCAGATTGCTGTATTTAGTGATTAGCTTATAGTCATTGCTAAAATTAACAGCTTTTATTGGAATAGTCAACAGGTTCCTCTTGGAATCCATTAGAACATGATCAAGCTTCAGTGCTTCTGCCCTAATCTCTTGCGGTCAGTCTCTCCCCCTCCCCTCCAACGGCAGGCTTAGAAGACAGGGTCTAATTTTATTTTCTGATAATTTTGTTTTAAATACCCACAGGCTAAAAGTCATTTCTTTCTTCTTTTTTTTTTGAATCCTGCTACCCACCAACGGATTCACCACATATATATAGATATATATATATATATATCTATATCTATATAAGCATAGGCTATTGCTCTTGATGTGGGGTAGGTTTTGTGATGAAAGCAGAGGCTGAGATGATATTTTGCAGATTGCGGCGGAGTCATCTCATCAATGATATTGATGATATGTTTAAGCCAGGAGTATATGAATCATAGGCTGAGATGGAGCCAGGTCAAAGCCGTGTGATTTGAAAATATCTTTGAATAAACAGAAAACGAGAGCCTGGCTGATATCACAGGACCCAACTCTTGCCCTGGAGACCAAGCGGGATGAGGGTTTTGACCATGCAAAGCGACCCATCTTCAATCCACCATTAACGAGAGCCTGCGGAAGGGGAGAGAGAGAGAGCCCACTCACTCGCAGGGGCCGTGCCGGGGAAGTCCGGTGTTGAAGAAAAAACAGGGGTTTGGGAGGGCGAGGGACCTCGGCTAACCTGGCGGCGCCGCCCCCTGCGAGCGCTCCCGTGGTGCCAATATAATCGATGAGAGGAGCAGCCGCGGGCATCGGCGTTTGTATATATCTCAACGTGGGGAGGGAGTTTAAACGCCGGGTAAACAACCCCCAACCCACCACTTCTCAGTGAGAATGTGGGGCGAAGACCTCAACAGAGTCAGGTTTAGGGTTTATCGGACTACCCGGTTAGCGGGTGTCTGAGCAGCTGTCCTCTCAACCCCACTCGACCCCTGGAAGATTGCCAAATTATTGTACCGAATACATATGAACCATATCTCACTTGAAAGATTTACCGATGTGGGATTTGGTCAACTCACTCAGCAACCTCCTTACATCTTCGTTAACCCCTCAACCAGTAGCATACACGCCCCCCCCCGCCCCCATCTCAATCCTCCACTCATATGGGCGCCCCTTTGACTTTACTCTCTCTTGCCCGCCGCATTTGAACTCCATGGAGCGAGTGAGAGAGAGGGGAGGGAGAAGTAGGGCGTGCAACTTGACGATGATGGATCATCGCCAGGTCTGCCCTCTGATTATTTAAGAGGATACTGTGAGTTGCCGGACATGCTTGACCGTTGATGTTCTGGGTAAAAAATCTTTGGTTTCTGGGTTTGACTTGATGGGGCTCTCAGGGTTTAACACGGATGGGAGAGAGTCGATAAAAGTTGCATTTTTGCCTGGTTTTGAAAGCGTGGGATGAATCCTTGAACGAGGCAAAGCCTCTACTTTCGAGCTTGGAAGCAGTAGCTTGAGCTTCTTGAATTATTTTTTTTTCTTTTAAATATTTTTCGTGTAGTTTTATAATTTTTAATTTTTAAGTTGAATTAATTTAACATTTTTGGGAAAAAAAATCAACGAGGAGGCGCTGGAAAATACATAGATGGATTTGGATTTTCCTTTCAAAAAGTATTTTTTTTCGAAATGGGCGATTATAAGATCATAAAACGAAAACCCAGGTTTTTAAAAAATAATTAATCAGGCCGATTTCTTCGTAGCAGAGTAGAAATGGTGTTTGATTTGAGTGGGAAAAATGTAATTATTTGTGAAATCAGTTGGGTTTTTCGAAGAAACACTCGCCGATCCCACCGTCGCCGCCCCGCCGCCGACTCTGCGGTGAATAAAACGAGACGGCGACTCCCGGAAGCTGAGGCCTTTGGTCGCTCGTTGCCGTCGTCATGGAGTCACAGCCGTCCGCCACCGTCGCAGACGGCGGCGGAGTAGGAGGGGAGGACTTGGCCACGCTGAAGGTGATGCGGCAGCAGCTGGAGGAACGCATCGAGGCTCGCCGCGTTGCCCAGGAGGATCTCATCTCCTCCATCCAGCCGCTCGTCCCCGACCTCGTCTCCTCCCTCGACATCTTCCTCCGCCTCATCGCTGCTGTAAACCGTCGCCCTTTTGTTCCCACGACGAGGCCGAATCCCGTCCCTGTACCAACCTCTCGGCCCCCGGTGGACGCTGGTTCTGCAAACCCTCGCCGCCGCCTTCACCCGGAGCCCCACTCTCCCTTTCCCAGGACGCGGGCGAAGCGATCCGGTGACGATGGGCAGCAGTCGCAGCGGTCTCGCGGGGAGAGATCCTCCCTCATCGTCGAGGGAGGCGCGGGCGACCGGCTGGCGGTGGTGCGCACAATGGTGGCCGTTTGCCTCCTGGAGAGAGTCCCCTTCACCGCAATTGATTCCGCCGCGGTCCTCAGGAAGCTGGAGGGCGACCAGTCCTCAGCCTCACCCGCGGAGAAGGAGGCTCTGAATGAGCTTGGTGGTGAGGACGGCGCTATATCCGCTGTTGAGAGGGCGATGCGGTGTATAGCTGAAGCCAACGGAGGCGTGGATTTGGAAGAGTTCGTGGTCAGCGGGAAGGCGAGACTGATGGTCATGGGAATCGACCGCAGCCGCCTTCTCAAAGAATTGCCGGAGACTGCTCAGCTGAATCAGTCGACGTCTGAGCCCACTCCTGCGGATGGTAACATGCCGAATCACTCTGGAGGCATGGCCGCAGTTGATGCCTCTACTGCAGCTCTGATGCCGAGGCCGCCGCATCCAGAGATGTGGCTGGGGCCTGTCGATCCTCATCTTTCGGGCTTGCCTCCCATTTTTCCTGGAGCTGGAGGACCGGGTTCTATGCTGGGGCCGAGAGGTGGCCCGAGGGGAGTCATGGGGCTCATGGGGATCCCCAGGGGGATTGGTGTTCCCCCTCTCCACCGGCCTCCTCTCGCCCCTCCACCTGGGATGGGTGGTCCCAGTCTGCTTCCTCAAAAGAGTACGGAAGAGGACGATCTCAAGGATCTTGAAGCTCTTCTTAGCAGGAAGTCATTCATGGAGTTGCAGAAATCGAAGACTGGAGAAGAGCTGTTGGATCTAATCCACCGGCCTACAGCAAAGGAGACTGCAGTCGCAGCAAAGGTCTGGAAACCCTTTGTAAATCTGTGTGAATTATGTTCTTCTGTTCGATTTCCCGCATGTTTTTGATGATTTCAGGCTTGTCACATGTGTTCACTTGGTCACATGGGATGTTATCCTGGAAAGCTTGTCTTGTCGTGTTTTATCCTGATATATGCGTTGACTTTGGTACATTTTCTCGGGTAGCCCTTTATTTATGTTTCACATCGTGCCAAGCACTAGGCTCTGGAGTTCTTAGGGAAGCAATCAGACTTTGCTGTCCTACAGTTTTGGCCTTCTTCTCTGTGTGAAGTTGCAGCTTTGTGTAGAAGCTTTCAATTCAATAAAGATTGAAGCTTTTCTGTGTATTCCATTTGGGATTCTCATATATTTTTTTGCATGGCTTGGGTAACCCAACCTGTCAGTAAAACGCAACAAAGAATTCGAAATCACATAGTGCTGTTGAATTGTTTATTTTGGATTCCAGTCTCGAGCTAGAGCAGGTTGTCCTAGATTTTCCATATCTGGCCAAATTGGGGAAACCTTTTGGACATAAAAGTGTTGATTCCACCTGATTATGTGGCTCCTGGCAGATCCCTCTGGATCTTAGTTGCTAAAGTGACTAAGGTGAGGAAGGTGGAGTATGATTTTTCCCTGGATTTCAATCAAAATTTTCATATTAAATTAACTACATTCCTATATCATGCTTTTTTTTTCTCAGATTTTTGATATAGAAATATGAAGGCTGCTGATAGAAAATTTTCTCTTCAGAAAACCCACACCACATGCTTGTGATTTTTGTTGTTTTATTCTATTTAATCGTATTGGCTATTGTTTTGTGCATTAGCTTTCTTTGATTATTCAATAGAAAATTTTGAACTGAACTGTACATAACATTTTTTTTTATAGATCTCATGCATCAGGTAAGCATTATCTTGGGTTTTGCGCTGAGTTATTTTGTCCTGCTACAAATTATTCGTTTGGTTCAGTGACCTGTAGGCACGAATTTATGTTACTCAGATGACTTGATAACTTGTGTAAATCGAGTGTTTGTTGGTATTATTCTATCTTTGATTGAATGGTCTTATCATGAACACTCCACTGGGAGTGAAAACGTGGATATCATTCGAGAGAAAAGGAACCTACAGTTTTGGGATTCTTACTCATCCTTACCCAGTTAGAATCTGACCGCCGCCCTGCAATTGATGATTCTAGTCTTCTTTGGATCGGTATAAAAGATCAATCTCTGGTAGGCCCGTGCAACTGTTTGCAATAGTCACATTGGCATGTGGGCATTCCTCCCATCCCACTATTACCACTTTGTTTTAAAATCTGGAATCTTTGTGCTTCTGAAAATATCAACATCTTCAAGATGTGTGATTGATTTACTCGTACTTTTATTTGTTTGAAATTATCTTTTCAATTTTTGCCTTTCTCCTACAACTTTTCCTGATATATGCCAGTTTGTATTGCTACTATTGCTGTGCGTTACAGTTCAAGACAAAAGGTGGCTCTCAGCTGAAAGAATATTGTTCAAACTTAACGAAGGAAGATTGCCGACGTCAGTCTGGCTCATACATAGCATGCGAGAAGGTTAGTTTTAATGGTTTGATGCTGATTATTCCCATCATATTGACCTCGCCACCTCTTGTTTCATAGCTAGAACCATGTGCCAAACATGACATTTATTTATCATCCAAGTTCTCATTCATCTTGGGCAAATCCTTGAAATGATTTTAATTTTGTTGGACAACACTTTCACATCTACAAGTATTGTACTTGCCAATGCTTTTTAAGAGTTACCTTCTCGCTAGCAATAAAGTTAACTGAAAGCTATGGGGGATCAACATCATGATATTTAGACACCTTAGCACGTGTGAGGGTCAAGTGTGACCAATAATACATTATCAAATGGTCCCAGTTTCGCATGTGAATGTTTGACTTTGCTCAGTTGGCCTTGAAACAACTTTTTTCTTAAGGTGCACTTCCGTCGGATAATTGCTCCACATACGGACACAAATTTAGGCGACTGCTCATTCCTGGACACTTGTCGACACATGAAGGTAATTCATTGTTCTGTGCAGTTCTTCTGCACCTTACATTGTGTCACTGCCGGGCACAAAGGTTATCTTTTTTTGCCGCGTAGTTGTTCTGCATTTGATACGGTGTTGATGTTCGTGATTGTTACAGACATGCAAGTATGTTCATTATGAGCTTGATCCTACACCTGATGTGTCTCCACTGATGATGGGAGCTGTAAGTATGGCTCCTCCAAAACCAATGAAGACACAGAGGGCAGAATATTGTTCAGAAGTGGAACTTGGCGAACCACAGTGGATTAATTGCGATATCCGTTCATTTAGAATGGACATCATCGGACAATTTGGAGTCATCATGGCAGATCCACCTTGGGACATTCATATGGAGTTACCTTATGGAACTATGGCTGATGATGAGATGAGAAATCTGAACGTTCCTGCATTACAGACCGATGGTCTAATTTTTCTCTGGGTCACTGGACGGGCAATGGAACTAGGGCGTGAATGGTATGTGTTCATGTTCATCTGTCTTTCCTTGAGCATGCTTATTTTTGCTGATAGTCATCTTTGTTACCTCCCCCCCTTTCTTTGCTCATCAAGTTATTTGCTACCAATTCAATGATACTGTTTCTACATGTGAGTCAAGTCATTTTCGTTGAACAACGCATTTATTTTACGTATAACACTTTTGGAGCGAGCTTCTGCGTGAATGGCTTGCCCTGGTTTGAAGAATCATCAAGCCCCCAAAAATTGAACTGGACTCAGTTGAGCTGACCCTGACATTTCCTTTGGCTGTTGGTCTATATTTTCGTATGCGATATGCGTGCATATCTTTAGGCATAAGCTCTCAATTTGGCTTATAACTAGTGTATGTACAAGGTCAGCTAGGCAAATGCATGAGGTAATTTGGATCAGGCTGAACCTGAGTTGGGTGTGGTCTTGGGCTGCATTTGACATGGATGAATTTGGGCTGGTCTGAGATTGTCTATCTAATGCTCTCCTTTTTATTTTTTTCCAATTAGAAGGGTCTTCTAAGGATAAAAGGCGCACTGGATGAATTTTAAAATTTTGATTTCTGAATAATCATGGTCATTCCAAGTCCTACCGAGGTTTATGCCTCACTTTTTATGAGATTTGTGGTAAGACTGATTGTTTAATGGCTCTTCTTGTGTTCATCTGCACCGACACATTTTCTATCTCTTCCTTTGTATTGAACTGACGGTAGTGGATGCTTTATTTATGGCTTCTGATCATTGATAAAAATTACGCATTAAAATGCATAATAAATTTGGAAAAGAATACACTTGGTTCTAGATTATCTGTGTCACCTCGTCTGTGGTCTAATAAACTATTAGCATTGGTGTAAATTAAGTACGCAGGTAAGGGCTAAAGTTGTCTCTCGATCCCAACTAATGAAAACAAAAGAGTATGCCCTAGGGTGAAGTGCTAGTGCTTACCAAATTTATTCCATTGACTTGTTCTTGTTTAGGCTTAGTTCTGTTCTTTATGCAATACCTTGTGCCAGCTATGTTCATCGGGAAGCTCAGTCGAAATAATTAAGGGTGGGGGAAACTCCAGCCCCGCCCTTTGAAGGAGTGTCAGGGTCGGAAAGGTGCATACAAAGCTGCAAGCATATCATCTTTTTCCAAATAAATCGTCAGAATTTCACAGCATTGGGATATACTGATAAAATATGGGTGATTCTTTGATATAGAGCATTAAAATCGATTGGGTTTCTTTGATTTGGAAAGATATCTTAGAACCAATGTTTGTCTCGGGTGTTGGCTGATTCTTTAATCCGTGGATGATTATTAAATCTTGAATGGCAATGAGTCTGAGATTCTAGGGACGCAATAGATTACTGGATGCTAGAGGTCCTCTTACTAGCTCTAGCCTTCTGTGTAACTTTATCTTCCATGCACACACTATTTCATCTGCTAGTGTGACGAATATTCTTTTCGTGAACAACACTCATTATGATTCCTCGTACTCCTATCCATTACACTCCACATGATTAAGGCTCTCTCACACTATGTAATTGTGAGTGGTTCTTGTACTCATATTAATAATATCAGGGGCTTTTCACCAGCTTGGTGATTCGTGTGAAAAGCCCCTATTTAAGGCTTGGCTTAGATCGTCTAGCTCGGATTAAAGGCTTAATTACTGTTGAAATTAACGTCTAAATTTGGAGCTCCAATTGACCAGCTTTACATCAGACTTCCGTCATTAAGTCCGTTTTTGCCAAGGTTAGTGCGCTCTCTTGAGCTTGGGGACCACCTTCTCCCCATTGCCCTTGGACAAGTACCTCCTCCAGGTTATTTCTCCTTCATTCCGTTCAACAAATTTAACCAGGAAGTGCGGCCCATTCTTGCCATTTATTTATCAATTTCGTAATTGTTATCCTCCTAGACAGCAGTAATTAAGTCTTTTTTCTTAATTCTTATTTTCCATCTCCCTGCTATAATTAATTAATTGCGGTAAAATATACGGATTAGTTTATATCTCTGTGGGGCTATCGGCATCTATTTTCATTGTTCAACTCTTTGACAAGATGAAAAACTAACTTTTTTTCTAACGAATTCATATCTTTAGTATACCTTTGGCACGATCACTCCTGAGTGGATGATATATTTGTTCAGCATTTAGCCAGAGTTTGTGAAAGAAGTATTGACTAAGCTCTGTTTTTACGTGCTGATAAACAGCTTGGAGCAATGGGGATACAAGCGTGTAGAGGAGATCATCTGGGTGAAGACCAATCAGCTGCAACGGATCATTAGAACCGGCCGCACCGGCCATTGGCTGAACCACAGCAAGGAGCACTGCCTCGTTGGTATAAAGGGCAACCCGGAGATCAACAGGAACATCGACACTGATGTCATCGTCGCTGAAGTTCGGGAGACCAGCCGCAAGCCTGACGAGGTAGCTTTGAGCCTACAGTTTCTCGAATTTCTCTCCTTGAAAAGGGAAGAAATTAGGGAAGATTGCAGTTTAGTGTGAGCTGCTAAGAATAGTTCGGCCTTGGTTATTACAGATAATCTGAGTTATAAAGAGGAAAACTTGTGTAATTATTTGCAGATGTACCCTCTTCTGGAGAGGATCAGCCCAAGAACAAGGAAGCTGGAATTGTTCGCCCGAATGCACAACACCCATGCAGGGTATGCCGGAATCTGGGCAAGCGTTCATTTTTTATTTTGTTCAGGTATTAGGTTGGTGTCATTATGCTTATCAACGATCATAATTCTATGTACTTTTATTTTTTTGAGCAGCTGGCTGTCGCTAGGAAACCAGTTGAATGGGGTCCGGCTGGTTGACGAAGGGCTGAGGGCCCGGTTCAAGGCGGCATACCCGGATGTGGAGGTCCAGCCGTCATCGCCGCCCAGACCGTCATCAGCAGCAGAGGGAGATCCTAGTGCTGCCCAAATGAGGAGCCCCTATGTGGGCTCTGAGTCCAAGCCACCGCCGCTACCTAGACCATTTATGGACCAATCACAGTCTGAAGCCTCGGATGCCTGACCCGCCGCTACTGCCGCAAAGTGGACGGCTGGTCAGGGGCTGTTGTAGTATTTATGCAGGCCTCTTTGGTATCCGAGCTTCGCTGCTGACCAGCTCCTCCCCCGTCTGGGGTTTCTAGGATTCAGTTGGGCTTCGGTGTTTGAGAAGGTGAATAGAATCAGTCAGGAGGCTTACCACGCTTGATTCCGTGAAATAGTTTCTCTGTTTCTATAAGAATCTAAATGATCTCGGCACTTGTGAGCCTATCCTCGATGAACTTTGCACAGATGCCTTTTAATTAATTAACCTCCTATGCTCCAGTTATTATATCAAATAAGAACTTATGTTTGTTTTTCAGGGTTCCAGTAAATAAAAAGATCAATTGAACACAGCATCATGTTGGGTACGGTATTATCAGACCAAAAAAATAGGCCCAGTATTCAAGTAACCTCTGCCCGGAAAGGGAAGGGTAAGGGTTGAATGGTTATCTTTTATTCATGAAGACGAGGGTGACATTAGAGATGATATTGAACAGATCATAATATTTCAGACAACCAAGAAGTAAGTTGAGATCTAAGTAAATATTGAAAATTCCCTTAATTCAACTATTAATCTTTGATACCAAGGACCATGAAGCTGAAGGGGCGAATCAATAGAAAATACAAGAATGTAGACTGACTAACAACTTAGTGACTCAATAATTAATACAAGAATTGAGATTGTCTTTATACTACCATTAGTTACGAGATTGTGATGATAAATGACATGACAGTCAGAGGACCTGTACATTGTCAAGGAGTAGTTTTGAAGATACAAGAGTTGAGGGTGATCAAATATTCATTGGACAACACATATGTCATATTAAGTGATAGATGGAGCTGCCATGAAACGACTTATTAGCAGATTAATAGATCACTTCGGGATGGCATATACAGCACACATCCTAGATCAAGTTAAAACTTTATGTAGTGGCTTAGAGTACTAGATATCATGAGGGTGGGCTGAAACTAACTCCCAATGAAGTTTTTGGTTGATGGTATCACACTCATCCTATGAGAAAACTTACATCTACGTAAGTCTGACATATCACTAAAGTAAATAATTTGTGATTTTCAATGAAGGGATGAAATATTTTTAAGGTTGTGTCAACAAGTCAAGAGAGTCATGGAGAAGACCCTCACCTCCTACTCAATCAACAAATAATAATTAATCTAGATGTTTTTCAAGGTTTTCATGTCATGTGATGGACTCTCACTTGACTATTAGAGAGATCAGTCATTACATCACATTAGAGTTAAGTGCTCTTGCTACTAGAAATTATTGTCACGTTTTCAAAAAAATAAATTTGAAAACTAATAGAAAAGATGTGTAATATGGGTATCATCTACCCTTCAATGAGTCCATATGCTACTTAGACTCCATTGATAAAAAAAAAGATGATAGTTAGAGATTTTATGTCAATTATGGGTGACTTGACAACATTATTTTTTGACAGCTTTCAAATCCCAATTGTTGAAAGATTCTTGGGTGAATTGTATGGATCTAAAAGTTTTCTCCAAGTTGAATTTAAAATCTAGTTGCCATCAAATTTGTATGGACAAGACAATTTTACACAAAATAACGTCCAAAATACACAAGGGTTTTTACAAATTTCTAGTAGTGTCTTTTGAAAACAAAAATACTTCGGCCACATTTCAGATCTTAATGGACATAATTTTTTTTTACCTATTCATTCAAAAAAATATTAATATTTTTTGATGATATATTCATATACAATCTAGATACATAAACACACAACCAACACTTGACTCAAGTGTTCCAACTAATCTAAGAACATTAGCTCCATATTAATGTGAAAAAGTGTAATTTTTAGCAAGCATATTGAATACTACAATCATTAAGTGTCAAAGGATAGAGTGATCGTAGACTCCAAGAAAATGGTTAATGGCCCACTCATATCAATTCATGAGAATTATATATATTCTAAATGTTGTTAAGATTATTTTTGACACTTTGTGGTTAATGATGAGAGCATTGCTTGGCTCCTCATAAGCACAAGAATGATATATTCCAGTGGAACATAGGCTTGAGAAACTATTTTAAGAACATAAATGAACAATGATAACAATATTTTTAGTGACTTCACTTCTTTTTTCAGTCATTTGAATTAAAAATTGATGCTTCAGGATTTAGGATGTGTTGTACTTATGCAAAATCACTAGTTGATGGTCTATTTCAGTCAAGTATCATTCACCAAAAATATGCTAAAATTTGTATTTGAGAGAGAACTTAGGACTATGATACTGCCATTTAAAGTGAAAATATTATCTTATGGGTAGCCCATTCATAATATATACAAACCAAATTTATTTGAAATATTTCCTTGAATAGTAGTTGTTTTTTCTTGAACACCAAATGTGTTAAGCAAGCTTATAAAATTTTATTTTAAAATAAAACATAAGACTAGAATAGAGAATATGGTGCTAGATATCATCTCAAGAATCCTTCTACCTATTACATAACGAATAAAAAATACTGTCATGTCATGATAGTTTGATTATAACAGCTTGACAACATAAGTTGACGAGCATAGCAAACTTACTAAGATCAAACAAGAGCTATCCAATGGGTTAGACAAGAACCTTAAATACAGGTTGCATCATGGTGTTCTATCTTATTAAGGCGAGTTGGTTCTTTCCAAAAAAATTGGAATGATTTCGTTATACTCTAAGAATGTCATGATAATACTGCATGTGGACTTTCAAGGTTCTTATGAACCTATTATAAACACATATCTCAAGATTTTTATTACTTGAGAATCAAAAACGTTGTCAAAAATTATTTACACTAATGCATAGAGTCCAACATAACAAATATGAATCATTGATGTTTGCAACTGTAACTCTAACTGCTTTAGATTCCCAATTTGACTTGAGACAATAGTATAACATATTTTATTGAAGGCTTCTTATCCTTCAATTGTTATTAGAAAATTCTGATAGTGGTCAATAAGTTGAGTAAATATGCTTACTTTATTCTCTTAAAACATCCATTCACAACAAAAAATATCCTAAAATAATTTTTCAACCAAGTCATCAAGGTATATAACATTCTTACATCTATATTATTAGGTCAAGATAAAATAATTGTTAATTTACTTTACATGGGATTGTTCTGATTGTAGGACACTTCTCTAAAATGTCACATTCTATCTTCAAATTGATTGTCAACATGAGGATATTAATAAGGACCTCAAGACTTATTCATGTTTTTTTTCTTGTACATGTGTTAAGTTATCAATTTTAGATGGTAATTAATGATTTGTTAAGAAATATCAATTTTACTATGGTAAAATATAATAAAATTAAATTAAAAAATCAAATATATTTTATTATATGTTTCATGCTTTTTCTTTGTTAAATGTGCATATTCTTATTTTTTAATAAATATCCATTTGATGATTTAACCCATAGACTAGTGCAACATCCAAGCCCTAGTCTTGAGAAACATTTTACCTCTTTTTATCTTTTCTTTTTCACAGTCATACGTTTGTTGGACTTGATGGAGTGGCTTTTGGAAAACTTGGTAATGTGCCAATTACAACATGCCCAATACCTAGCCCATCACGATGGGTGCTTAAGAGGGGAGAGAGAGAGAGAGAGGGAGAGAGAAGGGACAGCTAGGGGATAAAGAGGGCCCCCAAGTGCTTTGGCAGTGGCATGATAATGATGGTGGCACGATACTTTCTATGATGAGCTTTCCCCTATTCTCATTTTTTGTTGGGTGACACAATAGAGGAATAAGTTCGCTTTATTGTATTCTAGTTGTCTACTCCAAGCTTTTTTATTATAGCTTGCATTCCTCCCCCTCCACTGGTCCTTGGGTGACACAAGTGTTAGAGGGGGACTTTTGTCTACAATGCCCTCTTAGGTGATGGAGTAGAGAGTGCGAACCCCTCATTGTTCTCACCTCAAATTTTTTTTGGTCAGTGATTTTCTTGAAATTTGGCTTATGTCCTTCCTCTACTAGTCCTTAGGGGACACAAGGATCAAAGGATGATTCTTTTCCACTATGAACTATTTATTTTTCTTGAGATTTACCATCGCTTTCATCTACTTCAATGTTCTCCCCTGCCTAGTAGGTGATAGACTTTGCTAGAAGAATCAAATTCTTATATGACCTCATTTTGTTGGTATCTTTTATTAATTATGCAATTAACCTAGGCTTGGAATCATTTTCTTGTCACCTTGATGTCAAGGTTAGTCCTCTTAGTTGGAGTATTCTTATTTTAGTTATAGAGGGCTATGTTTAGTCTAGAGTTGAGTCTAGTATTTATCTTTTTTAGAAATTTTATTTATTGTACTATCTTTAAATTTCCCACATGTAAAATTCAAAGGACAATTGAGGACTGAGGGGATATGAGGTCTAAAGAATAATTATAATACAAATAACCAACAAACCTAGAGAATTAATTCTAAACACAAATGACAACAACAAAGATGTTTCCTATAGAGAAGATTATATTTTTATCTTTTTTCATGTGTTGAGTCAGTCAAGAGAACAAAGCAATTGGTTACCAATATTTTCAGACCATCCTTGTGGAAAGCGACTTGAGTTCCATTATATATTGTTATAAAAATATCATTGAGGAATTTAGTAAAAGTAATTAATTTTTTTAAATCATGTAACAACAGTTAGGGTTGAGAATTTTTTGATGTCATTGTTAGGGATGATCTTTGAACAACATGGTGTTAATTGTCTATTTTATTTATTTTTTAAGATTCAATGCTAGTGTTTGCTTTCCTTCTTCAATCTTTTTTTTAAAGGGAGAATTGTGGACAATATGTATTATCGAGGAGTTAAAGTGGGAAAGAAGCCCTCAAATGTGTAGTGAAACCCTCTTTGAACTTGGTTTCTTTTAGTTTGATTTTTTAATATATTTTTACTTATTTTGATAAAAACATTGTGAACTATGTATGCATATTAGATGGCACTTAAACCAAAACTAGCACACTATTAGA